GCAGAAATTGATCCTTTTTCATCTGATTAATCAGAAGATTAATCGTTTGCTATATTAATCGTTATGTGCAGTCCTACAGAATGCATGCTCTGACCTCTGACCCCTGTGCGCCTCCGCAGCGCGCCTGAAGCTGACCCCCGACCCCGCCTCCTCGGCCCTCATGCACTCGGACTCGGACCTGGTCAGCGATGAGGGCCAGGAGCGCGGCCACCTGCTGCGGCCCCAGAACGGCTCCCTGAACAACGGCCAGGGGCCCCCGAGGGCCAAGAAGCCCCGCGAGGAGCTGCTATAATGCCGGGTCCAGCCAGAACCGGGTTCTGATGAGTTCTGGGCCGCCGAGTACTCACTGTGAGACGATTTACTGATGGACGCATCATTTCCTGCTTCAGCGACGCGCCGCTGACCGCTCTCACGCCACAACCAAACACTGCCACCAAACCAGAGCTACCGACCCAAAGCCGGTCCAGATCCCCGCATGAGGACTGCTGGGCCGGATTGGACCGGGCCAGAGGTTCTGCTGCATGTCTGTGTGTTTTCTGTGTTGTTGACCCACCGGACGGTCAGAGTGGGCTTTTATTCTGAAATCCTGTCGCACACTGGAGAGCAGCCTGTTCAGGTGCTGACTGAGCCCCTCCTGAGGTGCTGCTGATGAACTTTGACCCTGTTCTGTGTCTGGTGTCACTTTGAAAAGGGAAAAATCGGCTGCTGGGTTGGAATCAAAGCTGGTCTCTGCAGACAGAAAGCTCACATGGGAGAAAAACTGAAAGATTCTCCGACTGTGTGCCTCATTTATATTGGGTTTTGTTTCAGTAAAAGTTTTTATTTTCCTGTTGAAGTGGAAACAGGATGGGATTTTAATCTGTAGTCTTCCTGCTTAGACATGCCGTCACCAGAACCCTGACTTTTATCTGGATGATGAGCTTTTAATTGAATGTTTTGTTATTTATTTTGCTCGTTTCTACTTTGTCCTGAAAAGCTCATAACTTCTAAAGATGATGAATTTAAATAGTTTTGAGAAAAGATGTGAAAACTGAATGTTGCTTTTGGATTCAGGTGTGAAGCAGGAGATTGATGAGAAGGTTTCCTCTGAGCTGCTCAACCAGAGCCACCATGAACAGCCCGGTTGTTTCCTGGCTGGGGGAGAAATGAAGAGCAACATCATGCGGCTTCTTCTCATCCTTCTGTCCTTTTGTTTTGCAGCTGCTTCAGCATGTCTCCTGTAAACCTCAGAGCTCACTGTGAAGCCACAACAGGGAGGCACTGCTTGTTTTTCTAATGAAGGATCTGTGGTCAACCCTAATGAAACTGGATCATCTGTAAATCTAAATAAATTGTTTTAAAGGTTTATTGTCGCTCTTTCTCTTGGTGGTTTGTTCTTCAGTGGCTGGTTTAAACAGGTCCTGATTGTTAGCAAGACAGGAGCTAAAGAGAAGATCCGAAAATGGCGCCACAATAAATCTCAGTACATTAAAACAGCGACATACATGGAAATGTTTGAGACTTCCTCTAAAAATGCTTATAACTGCGTATTTTAATAGTTAAACCCCCACTATAGCCGTATGTGTTAATACACAGCGGAAACAGTCTAGCAGAAGCTTAGCTAACGTCCATAGTTAGCTTGTTTACGCCACTCTTACAGGTTCAGCCAATCAGAGCCAACGAACATAAATGGCTCTCCTGGATTGGATGGTTTATCTACCGCCAGCCAATGGCGTGTCAGCTAGTATTTCGCGTTTCAGCTTCCCGAGCACATTTTCTTTTCAGTTTTGTAGACTTGTTGTCCGAATAGGCGATTTTTTTCACCAGTAATTAGGAGTCACGTTTCACAGAAAAATCCACGAATAGACGGGGATCCACCAGTGGTTGCACTAAACTAATGCATTTTTATCCAGGTGAGTGAAAGACGTTATTCAAAAATTACTCGAGTGAAAAAGAATTAAGGACCGAGTAACTGTTCATAAGAGCTGATTTAGTATTTATAAATGATGACCAAAATATCAAGTTTGGTGAAAATTTCTTTGTTTCATCTTTTATCGTTTAAAATGATCCACAAACTATCACTGCTGCTCCTACATGGTCAACGTCTTTGATTATTCTGAATTCACTGTGGGATGTTGGGTTTTACTGGATCTTCTTCTGGAACCGGTTCTGGTTCCGTGTTGCTCCTGGACCCACAAACCGACCGAACCTATTGGACTTTTATTGGCTCTGAGGTCACAGATCGGCCAACGATCCTTAAACCAACCAGACCTAAAACTCACATCTGCTCTCCTCTTGACCCCTGACCTCACGCTCTCTGACTCTGGTTGCTATAGTAACGGTTACCTATCCCTTCAAAATAAGATGCAGCTGCGCCACAAAAACGACATTTTACTTTGGTGAAAGTTTTAACTCAGGATATCGACTGATGGACCCTGAGCTGTTTCTCCTTCTGGAGACGAGAGACACCTGGTCTCCATGGTGACGCAGTCTGACGCTTCATCGCCTCATCAGCATCCGGTCACCTGATCATGCAGAGCAGCTTGGACTGTGGGAATCAACCCACCGGGATAAATCCATCCTCCTGCCTCTCTGGGCCTTTAACCTTCAGACAAACTTAAAATCTGTTTCTGACTCATTTTGCTGCTTGTGGCTCAATGTTGGCGCGCAAGATATTGTAGGAGTTTCAAAATAAAAGATCCTCCAGACTCAAATAATACATAAAACGTAAATATTTAATTATTTTTAATTGGTGCGCTGCCCAGCACCAATTAGTCCACAGATCGGTACCGGGTTTTGGGACCACTGCTATGAAGATCTGCTTGGATTGTGACTATTATGAGTTAATAAGTAAAGCCAAAGCAGACCATTAATGATGTAGACTTAAGTGTGTATTTATTGCAGATCATATCTGTCACGACATTCGCCTGGTGTTCTGCTGCTGTTTCCTGAAACGACCTCTGGCATCAATCACACCGTATGCTGGCGATATGTGCCTGTGCCTCCACCGTTTCACTAAAAGGTGTTTTACAAACCCGTCTGTCATATTTATTGACCAGCTCTGCTCTCACTGTTTTATTTGTTTCTTTGCAGTTTTTAAAGAACAATCAGGTCGGATCTGAGTTAGTGGGTCGTTTCTTTGTGTGGATCTGGTTCTGCTGCTTCTGTATTGACTTTTCTCTGCTGTCTGTTGAAAACGTTTCACTGTGAAGGAAAAGCATTGGAGAAATTGGAAGGAGTTAGGAAAACTTAACCAAAGTACATGGCAAACCCAGCATGATGCATCTGGTGGCCCTTTGGCTCCTATGGAGTCTGCTGCCCCCTGAAGGTCCAGTTGTGACTTACAGAATAACGTTCACCACTAAAAATATCAATTTTGATTCACAAACTATTCCAGTATTTTTATACAGCAAAGAAAATTCACAATTTCAATTAATCAATAAAAGAATTGTCCTTATTTACAAAATAAACGTATCTTATGCCTCTATCCAGGTACTGCTAATAATAAGATACATGTACAACATTGTTGTTCTCTCATCAAAATAAAAGCATTTAATTCAAAAAGCAGAAGCCAACTTACAAAAAGTTTGCGATAAGTGCAAAAGGGAAGTAAGTTGGGGTTATTTACCACATATTTACTCTTTACATACCTTTATTTACATCAGTTCTGATTTATTTGATTCTATTAGTTTTGTGATAAAAACAATAATTTAAAAGGATTTTATTTTCTCTATGAGAACCGAACATCATCCATCTGTTGTTCCACGGTGACCGTCTCATTCAGACGGCTCATTGACTTTCTCAGCCCATTAAGCTCAGCTGGTCTTTGCTGCTTCATTAATGACGATGATGATGATGATGACGTCTGTAATGGTTGGTGTTTGGATGTGACCTTCTAAAAGCTGTTATGGTTTCCTCCTGAAACTGAGGCAGACAGAAATGTAGAAGTCGGTTTAAGGAGGAAGCAGATTGAGGTCATTTCCTGTCATTAGATGACTTTCTGTTTTCGTGTTTTGCTGATGTTGGTCGTACAAGCTGATGATCTTTGACCTGGGAATAGTTCCGGGTCGACCCATCAACCAGGGCCGACCCAGACTGTTCTGAGGCCTTCAGCAGAGTTAGGTTTGGGGTTCGACTCCCACCGACAGCATTTCATCGTGGAAGTTTGATTAGCTGAGCTAATCGTAAACAAATTGAGCACAAACACAAAGATTAAACTCAAAGCATCAGAGCACTTTGGTAATAAAACAATCAGTTATTCTTCACAGTTTTATAAAATTAACTTGCATTTCCTTTGAGTCTTAAATTTAAATTTTGTATGAAATATTTTATGTTGGCTGAAACTGTAGAAGAGGTGGTGGGTAACAGCAGAGCTAGTATTTCATTTAATGGAAACATTGAAAACATTTAGCTTCCCATAAATACATTTTAAAGCAAAACCAACAATGATGAAACTGAAATCAGGTGTGAAAAGGCTGATCCAAAGAATTACTTCCTGAAGTGCAGCTTTATTGATAGTGCTACAATGACAGCTAATGCTAAACTCACTGTTTAGCATTAGCATAGCCTTTCAGCATTAGCAGAGCTAACGTTTTCAATTAATGCTGCAAGTGCTGGTAACTTTGTGTCCACCATTGTTTCATAGTATTCTCAAGAAAACAAATAACATTTTTTATCATTGTCGTTTACGGTGGCGCCCCCTGCTGGTTTGAGGGTTTGCTCTGCGAACACCCGCCCCTCCATCCTCTTCTTCACCTCATCCACCTTCTGCTCCTGCAGCTTCACTGCAAGCTGTGCGTCTGTCCTACATAAGAGCAGGGTTCTGGTTTGGTGCACATGTGCAGCTCTGTGCAGTCTGTGCGCCTCTGACTGCAGAGTGGCGCTAACTGCAGCGTGCAGATGTGCAGTTTCTGCTTCATGGCGGTGCAAGCTGCAGCCATGACGAGAGGAAGAAAAGCGGTGGTTTCTGGGTGTCAGAGCGCCGCTGCCCTCTGCCTCCGCGCTCCTTATATGGGAAAGGAATCAGGCTGAGAGGGGCGGAAACACGCCGCGGTGCCAGCCGGGTAAATTCACCTCATCCAGGAAGAAACCCACCGAAGCTGTCTGCTCTGCAGTCTGCACACCCTGCGACAGAACACGGACCAAATCACTGCTAGACCCGGTTAGCAGGTAGGCCGAACCGGAACGCCTGTCACTGGTTTCACTGGGTTTACTGGTGAGGCGAACAAAGCGGAACTGGGAGCGGCTGGTCGGACGGAGACAGGCGGAGAAATCAGGAACTTCAGGGAGGGAACGACCCGGAAAACAGATTAACGGTGTTTATTCCGTCCAGATAACCGAACCGGCTCGGTTCTGCCGCAGTCACCTGACCCATTCCAATGCTCCCAGCAGAACCAGTCGGTTAAATAAGCTGTTCTGACCCGCTTGGTTAACCCGTTTAATTGTCCCGCTGCAGCGCTCTGTTTTCAGACGGTGTTGTGCATGGTTTGGTAACCCCTGCAGGTGGTTCCCGCACAGAACCAACGGGCCTGGCCAGTGGTACCGGTTCTGGGTCTGAAGGTAGCGGCTCGGATCGGTTGGCCGGGTCTTCATCTAACGGGGCCGCAGATGTGAACGCAACATGCCCGGCGCTGCTAGCTTAGCTTTAGCCTGTTAGGAAAATCTCATTAGCGACGTCAGCAGCCTGGACGTGATTGGTGGCCCACCTGTGGTCCAGGTGAAGGCTGCGGGCGGGCGGCTGGCTGTGTATCCCTCCGCGGGTCAAACCCGCACAGACCAAACCAGAACCCAAAAGGGTCCGGGCTGGTTCTGCTGGGACGGAACCAGAACCTTTTTGGGCTTGACAGGAAGTGAATCCTGCAGGATCTCTTCCAGTTTCAGGATTTCTCTGAAGGTCAGCCAGGATGCGGTTCTGTTGGGCTGACCTGGTTTTGGTGAAGTGGACCAGAACTGCATTTTTTCTAACTTTGGACCAAATTTAGCTTTTCCACAGGTTTCTGTGGTTTAATTCCCAGTTATTTAGCAACTTCCTGAATCAGCTCCATTGGCATCCTGGCTTGTGATTGGCTCCTTAGTGTTCCTGCTGCAGCTGTTTACTTCCTGTCTGTCCCCTGAAGCCCCGCCCCCTGCGGATGAGTCAGTCACCTGGGAGCAGGAAGTGCCGGCGGCTCCACCCTGCCTGAAGGCATCGCCCCAGGTTGACGTTTAACAGACATCAGAACCGGATCAGAACCAGAGGCATCTGCTTTTCCTCCAGGTCTTCTCAGGTTTTCTGCTCTTTGGGATTTTGAGTTCATAAAATCAAGTTTTTGTAAATTCCTGGGAAACTCCTGGTTCTGACCCGTTTCTCCTCTGAAGCGCCGGTCCGACCGGCTTCCTCTTCCACCCTCTGTTCGCTTTCCTGGAAACTTTCAGCTGAAGTTCAGGCCTGCAGCAGTTTGATTTAATTAATCAAATTTAATGTTTTATTTTGGATAAACTTGGTTAAAATGCAGAGAAGGAACCAGGAGAAATCGGCTTCACACATTTTGTCACATTACAAAAATGTTTTGTTTTCTTACATGACGATAATTTAAACATGAATAATTTTAAACAAAAATGTTTTTGTCGGACCGGATCCAGAACTTTAAATGTTTTTTCCTTGTTAAATTAAACCAAAATAAATAAATTAAATTAATTTATTTGGGTCTCGATTGAAGAAAGCAAATATTTCATATGTTTTGCAGTAGAAACAGGAAGTTCGGCCTTCGCTCCTGCAGCGCGTCAACCAACTACTTATTTCATCTCATATTTAATTTATTTGATCTGTGTCCGCTAACGGCCCCCAACCCTCACTTTGACCACCGTTGGTGTGACAGAAGGAGAAACGGGAGGAGTTTGGATCCGACCGGAACCGGAGACGTTCTGGAATGAACTGGATCAAACATTAGAAACTGGATCCTAAACAATAAATTTAGCAAGTCAGGGAATTAAAGAACTGGGCCGGCTGGTTCTGGGTGTGATCTCCGCAGAACCAGTGGCCCACTCGGAGCCGACCCGATCTGCGGTACCAGCAGAATCGCCTGGTTGTTATTGTGGAAAGTTTTCTGATCCTTTAATGAGCTGCTGACCCGAACCCGTTCTGGAGGAGCAGAACCAGGCCCGCTGGCTCTGGGTGGACCGACTCCCTCTGGATCAGAACCGCTGTGGTAGTGTCACTTCCTGTCTCCTGCAGGAATGGCGGCGGAGCTGGCGAGTCTGGTGCAGCGGCTGGAGGTGGCGGTGGGCCGGCTGGAGGCCGTGTCCGGCCCGGCGGGCGGCGCCGCAGGTTCTGCTGGTGGAGGTAAGCCGGGCTCTTTGGACCAGTTTTGGTTCTCCTGAAGGTTCTAAGAACAACAGATTCCAGAGGTCCAGTCAGCTCTGGTTCTGTTCCGGGTTCTGTCAGGCAGGTTCTGATCCGAACTGGATCGGAACCGGTCCGGATCAGAACCTTGTGCGTTCCCTCCTAGCCTTGGCGGCGTTCGTGGAGGCGTATGATGACATCATCAGCGGTCCTGTGGCGCAGTACATGTCCCTGAGCCAGCAGATCGGAGGAGACGTCCAGAAACACGTAGGTCACTGACTCCGCCCCTCTGGCAGCCAGGGGCGCCGCCGCGATGACCGTGACGCTGCCGCGGTGACGGTGACGCTGCCGCGGTGACGGTGACGCTGCCGCGGTGACGGTGACGCCGCCGCGGTGACGCCGCCGTGGTGACGCCGCCGTGGTGACGCTGCCGCGGTGTCGGCGCCGCCGCCACGGTGACGCCGCCGCGGTGACGCCGCCGTGGTGACGCCGCCGCGATGACGGTGACGCCGCCGCGGTGACGCCGCAGTGGTGACGCCGCCGTGGTGACCCTGTTCTGCGCTCCTCCTCAGGCGGACATGATGAAGCAGGCGTTCTCCAGCCAGAGGCAGCTCCTCGCCACCGCTTCCTCCTCCCAGAAGCCCTCAGACGTGAGTCCAGAACCGACCCGACCCAGTCTGGTTCTGTTCTGACAGCAGCAGACGGTTGGTGGTTCTGACCCGGTTCAGGCAGATCTAAACCTCTGCTGCTGGTTCTGAAGGTCAATCAGAACAGTCTAAAACTCTTTATCAATCCAGACAGAACCAGAATCCGTGAAGGCCCAGCTGTCCTCCATGTCTGTAGTTTTACAGAGGCTTGGTTCCGACCCAGTTCTGCTCATTTGGACCCAGCAGAAGTTCTACTAGTTCCTTAAACAGAACCATCTATCTGACCCGCTGCTACAGCGGTCCATTTAAATCAAGCCGGGTTGGTTTAGGTCGTTGAAACTTCTTCATTCCTGTATGTAAACCAAAACAAGGGTTCTGATTGGCTCCTGGTGTCGGCCCGGTTCTGTCTGAGCAGCAGAACCTCTGGATGAGATCAGAGGTCAAACCAGAACCAAGCGGGGAAATCGCACCGATCTGCTGCTGATCTGATGTTATTGATGATGTCACTGTCTTACTGATGATGTCACTGTCTTACTGATGATGTCACTGTCTTACTGATGATGTCACTGTCTTACTGATGATGTCATCCCGCAGTCGGTTCTGACGGCGCTGCTGCAGCCCGTCTCCAAGGCGATCCAGCAGGTCCAGGCGTTCCGGGAGCAGAACCGGACCTCTCCGCTCTTCAACCACCTGTCGGCCGTCAGCGAGAGCGTTCCCGCCCTGGGATGGGTTGCCATGGTAACGCCCAGACTGTGGCTCTGATTGGTTCGTCTGGAGCGAATGTGTGGCGCCGTTGCTTAGCGACCGTCTGGTTCTGGTTCCTTCAGGCTCCGAAGCCCGGTCCGTACGTCAAGGAGATGCAGGACGCTGCCATGTTCTACACCAACCGGGTCCTGAAGGACTACAAGGAGAAGTCAGTACAGCTGCTTCCTGCTTCCTGTCCAGACAGGAAGTGGGTTCCTCACGTCTCCTGACCCTTCCTGTCCCTGCAGAGACAAGATGCATGTGGACTGGGTCAAAGCCTACGTCTCCATCTGGACCGAGCTGCAGAACTACATCAAGCAGCACCACACCACCGGCCTGAGCTGGAGCAAGACCGTGAGTAACTGGACCTGGGCCTGGAACCGGACCGATTGCATCCCTTTATTTGTCGTCCATCTTGTCTCGCCGTCCTCAGGGTCCTGTGGCCGCGGCCTCCGCGGCTCCGCCCAGCGCGCCGGCCGGCGGCCCCCGCCCCCGCCGGGCCCCCCCCCTCCGCCCCAGGAGCTGAGCGGCGTTCCAGGAGGCGGCTGCGACGGCGGCGGCGCCACCAGCAGGAACGCGCTGTTCGCCGCCATCAACCAGGGATCCGACATCACCAGAGGTCAGAGGTTAATCGACCAAAATAAAGACATTTATATGAAAATGCATTTTTATAAATATCCTTTGTATTTGAGAAACTCAGTTTTTTATATTTTTCACAAACATTTTTTCTAAAAAGAGAAATTATTTTTATTTAATATAAAATTTAAGGTTTATATCTTTTAATATTTTTCATTGGTTGCGGTTCCGTTGCGGTTCTGTGCGGTTCCGTTGCGGTTCTGTTGCGGTTCTGTGCGGTTCCGTTGCGGTTCTGTGTGGTTCCGTTGCGGTTCTGTGTGGTTCTGTTGCGGTTCTGTGCGGTTCCGTTGCGGTTCTGTGTGGTTCCGTTGCGGTTCTGTGTGGTTCTGTTGCGGTTCTGTGCGGTTCTGTTGCGGTTCTGTGCGGTTCCGTTGCGGTTCTGTGCGGTTTTGTGCGGTTCCGTTGCGGTTCTGTTGCGGTTCTGTGCGGTTCCGTTGCGGTTCTGTGCGGTTCTGTTGCTGTTCTGTGCGGTTCCGTTGCGGTTCTGTGCGGTTCCGTTGCGGTTCTGTGCGGTTCTGTGCGGTTCCGTTGCGGTTCTGTTGCGGTTCCCTTGCGGTTCTGTGCGGTTCCGTTGCGGTTCTGTGCAGCAGCTTCACTCTGATTTGAACCCTTTCAGGCCTGAAGCACGTCAGCGACGACCAGAAGACCCACAAGAACCCGGCCTTGAGGGACCAGGCGGCCCCGGTGCGTACTGGACCCAAACCGTTCTCCTCGGCCACGCCCCGACCCGCCGGGTCCGCCGCACCGACCCGCACGCTGCCGCCGGTTCTGGAGCTGGAAGGAAAGAAGTGGAAAGTGGTGAGTGGGTGGTTCTGGTGGGTCTGTGCTTCTGGAGCTGCGAGCGCTCGGACCCACTGGTTCTGGTTCTGATTCTGCAGGAGAACCAGGAGGGGGCCCAGGGCCTGGTGATCAGCAACACGGAGCTGAAGCAGGTGGTCTACGCCTTCAAGTGCAACCAGAGCACGCTGCAGGTCAAAGGCAAAATCAACTCCATCACCATCGGTAAGAGCTCAGAACCGGGTCAGAACCTTTAGGTTCCAGTTTAATCCACAAACATTTCCTGTATCGCCAGAGAGGAAGCAGCTCCCCCTGCAGGCCGTTTTTAGAAGTCACTCATTGAATGTTGACCAGAAAACCAAACAAATGGTTTCAATAAAAATCTGAGATTTCATAACTTTATATTTTATTTGTATATCAGAAGCTTATTACATTGTGAAACTGTTTAAATGTGGAAACTTTTGCTTAAGGTTTTTCTAAAATGTCAAAAAAATCAAATGTCTGATCCGCTGACCAATCAGGGCACTGGGCAGTGACTCAGGACGCCTGATTGGCCGACGAAGCCAATCAGACCAATCAGACAGGTGGTTGAAGGCCCAGCTGTCCTCCATGTCTGAAGTTTTACAGACATGGAGGTTTTAAAGCCTTATTTTCAGATTTAAACTGTGATGTAATAAAGCGCTGCTGATCCTCAGACAGCTGTAAGAAGATGGGTCTGGTGTTCGACGATGTCGTCGGCATCGTGGATGTCATCAATTGCAGAGACGTCAAGGTCCAGGTGCGTACGTCTCCTGGATCCGGTCCAGGTTCTGGATCCGGTCCTGGTTCTGACTGCTGACCGCCCGTCTCTCTGCAGGTCATGGGGAAAGTCCCGACCATTTCCATCAACAAGACGGACGGCTGCCATGTTTACCTGAGCAAAGACTCGCTGAGCTGTGAGATCATCAGCGCCAAGAGCTCTGAGATGAACATCCTGGTTCCCAACAAGGACGGAGAGTTTGTGAGTAACTCGGAACCGGTTCCGGTCCGACACGGGTGGATTACCTCTGAGCAGTCAGTGTCTTACCTGGAGAAACCGACTGCAGACAGTCGGTCATGTTTGGACCCGTTTCGGTTCGGTTCTGGTTTCAGTCGGGACCGGAACTGTTGATCCGGTCAGAACCGAGCCGTCAGACGGATTAGCTGAAATGTTTCTGAAGCTAACAGGAAGTTGGAAGGTTTGATTAGAGCAGATTATCAGAAACTCGAGTCGAGCTTCAAATAGGCTTCAGACTCGACTTGACCTTTGACCTGAGTGTCAGAGTGTCCTAGCTGTGAAGTCTTAGCTTTTTTTATATCTATAATGAATCTCCAGGCTGCTTGTTTTATTGTGAAAGGATGAACCTGATTATTAGCCAGTGACGATACTGGATTATTATGGGACGCTAACGTCTTCTAGCAACCAGCTCATGCTAGCTGCAGCTTCATCATAATGACGACATGAATGTATCGTCACCTGAACGCTGCTATGAATCACTTTGGATCATTTCACAACAAAACAAATGTAAATGACCCCTGACCTTCTCTCATTGCTAAGCTAACAGCTACACTGCATGAACACTTCCTGCTGGAAACGTCAAAATAAAAGCGTTTGCTTCGTTTGGTTGAACTGGTTTGCGTTTCCTGTCCTCCAGACGGAGCTTCCTGTTCCGGAGCAGTTCAAGACCGTCTGGGATGGCCAGAAGCTCGTTACCACGGCAACGGAGATCGCTGGTTAGGCGGAGCCCCGCCCTCTCACCTGACTGACCCCACCCACCAGCTAATGTCACACTGTAGACTGAGATTCAGACCTCATGAGTTAACCCCGCCCCCTGCCTCCTATCAGCCAATCACAGCTGCCCCTTCATTAGCCAATGAGAGGGCTGCTCGCGCCTGGAGCAGATCCTCCAGCCAATCGGCAGCAAGCAACTGAGAACTAGATTAGATTCTCAGCAGCCAATCAGCCAACAAGACGCTTCCCTGTTTCCTGCTCCACTTCCTGTTTCATTATTATGCAACTTCCTGTTAAAGCACCTAGAAAACCAACTAAAGCATCACTTTGCTTCTGCTCAGTTCAATCCGGTTCAAACAATCCAGATCAGGTGGGAATAAAGCTCCAGGTTTCCCAGGACATTCCCGAGCGTTGGCATCATTCCATGTCGGAGACAGAAAGCTGCACCTTGATTCACCTGGAAGTGGTGACCAATCTGTAAACATGTTTTCTTTTTTCTCACTTTATTTTTGGGTCCAAATTGAAATGTTCTCATCAGTGCTGAGTCATTAAAACGTTGCAATAACAGCAGGAAGTTTGTGTCTTTATTGGGTTAAAAGCAGCATCAATCACAACAGGAAGCTAAAATCACCAGGAAAGCATCAGTGCAAACGAAGAGTTTCTGCTGCAGCGCCCTCTGCTGGTCTACCTGAGGAAGGGCAGCAGGTTGGCAGTGAACCATTCCCTGCTGAACTGGAGGTGATCTCCGTCTGTGGAGAGGAAGACCAGCTTGTGGGCTTTATCCATGGCGGCCAGGCCCAGACGGTCCTGCAGGAAAACAGTTCAACAGTTAAACCGAGTCCAGACGAGAAATCATCCAAACATGTTAGAAAAATCTCATCCCCTCTTCAGATTTGACAGGAGATGGTTATGATGTCACTGTTTTATGTTAAGTCTTCCTGCATTTCAGGCTGAAGCAGATTTAATGAACTTGAGAAAATAACTGGACAGACAGAAACCAGAACGAGAAACTTCTGCAACATTTCCAGACCAAAAAAGCATTTTCCCTCAGTCCAGCTGAACAAAACTCATTTGAAACTGCAAACTACATAAAATTTTGGAAAAATGATTTTTAATTATTTTTTCATCTGAGATTCATTTTTTTCAGGTTCCAAAACAAAACATTTACAGATATTGCCTTCTATGTAAATGAAACAAAAAGTAAATTACCATAAAAAAAAACAAAACAAAAAAATGAATAATTGTAAAACTGCTAAAATGAGCATTTAGTCTATTTTTAACTTTTAACCAAATGGACTGGAGCGATCAGGGAGCTTTAGCTGGAACCTCTGATCTCTCCAATAGCAGCTGTTTGAACATTCAAGTAGAAATATTTTTTGCACAAATTAATTATGAAATTGAAGGAATAATTTTTAATTTAAATTTTTGTTCCTCTAAATGATGAAACTATTTCCAGAGCAGATTTAAACGTCTAGTAAAAAGCTTCAGTTTCATGGTTTCACCAGCAGGAGGCAGCAGAGCGCCAACAGGATCTGCTCCCAGCTGGGTTCTGCTGTTTTTTGTGGTTCTGGTCCGGTTGGACTGTTACCTCTCTGTAGAGGGCGCTCTCCTGCAGCGTCTCCGTCTCCTTGGCCTGGCCTGCCTTCAGGAAACCGAACCACTGCAGGAGAAAACCAGGCAGCTTCATCACCTCAGCCAGTGGGTTTCAACGGGTCAGAACCAGAATCGGGCTAGTTACCTCGGAGTCGACCGGGTCCACCACGGTGTCCTGCAGGAACTTCACCATGACGAACTTCTGCAGCTGCTGCAGGTTCTTCCTGTACGTCTCATTGACGACCTGAAACAGACGAGATCCGGGTCAGCGGTTCTAAAGCCAGGGGTCGGCGGCCGGGTCGGCGGCCGGGTCGGACCGTCACAGCCGCTGGTTCTGACCCGCTCCTGGTTGATGTCGGCCAGGAAGAGGCTGTGCTGCTTGTACAGGTCGTCGTTGAGCGGGTCGTGCCAGTACTGGGCCTGAACGAGGCTGAAACCCAAACAGAACTGTCATAGCAAGCAGAACTGGGAAACGGGTCGGTCGTCATGGTAACTCACTGCTTCTGGACCAGGTCGCTGTAGGCGCCGCGGTTCAGCGCCTCCCGGATCATGTCGCAGATGTGGGAGCTCTCACCTGGACACCTGGGCAGCCCGTACACACCTGGGCAATCAGAGACAGCTTGCTGTTAGACGGCCCGGTTCTGGTTCTGCCTCCTGAAAAAGAGCCACTCCTTCCTACTGTCGCCCTGTGCTTGTTCAGGATGAGAATCTGAGTATTTGGATCTGTGCTAATAGTGGAGCTAATTTTTAGCATTTTCCTAACTTTGGTCGTGTTTAGCACATTTAGCTTCCCCCACATTAATTTTTCTAATAATTTCTAAAGTGCTAATTTAAATTGTTGAAGTTAGCACTTTATTATTAGCGTCAGCTAAATGCTAAGTAGCTGTAACGCTGTGTTGTTAGCATAACTTATGTTTATAGTTGCTAACTTGGAAAGTGTGTAGCACAGGTTAGCATTCCCTTTTTGCAAAAGTTTCATATTTTTCTTGACTTTAAAACCTGAGAATAAAAATAAAAGGAGGGTTCTTTAAAAATATCAATACATTTTCTATAGTGGATGTTTATTCAAATTTATCCCTTTTTAAGTAATGTAACATTTATGGCTCCAAACAAGTTTTAATTAGCCGGGCTGAAAACAAAGTGGCTCTTGAGATTGTAAACGTTGTAGATTCCTGTGCTGAACGCTGAAACTGTTCCCAACAAAACCAGTAAGTAGTCACACCCCACTGCTATTACAATAATAAATAGTAAAATATCCTGTTTACTTTCTATTTATGCTCATGTTGTAGATCTTTTAATTCTCACACATTTCTTTTAATCATGAATGTACAATATTGTTCCTGTTTTTACATTTTATATTTTTTCCTTAGTTTAAGAAATGGTTTTTCAGGCTGTGAAATCTGCTAAAAATATGTGTTTACGTTTCTTCCATATCAACACTTGAAAACCCCCAAAACATGAAGCTGAGCTCCTGCAGACTAGCTGCAGCAGAAGTGAAACTCGGGGCAGGAAGTGAGAGTACCTTGATGCTGGCCGCCGACGGAGATCAGCGTTCTCATTGGTGGAGAGGGACAGCGCTGAGCCACGGCTCTCCTGTAAGAGCGGAGGACAGGAGTCAGACGGAGCTTCCTCATTCAGCCTGAAAACTTCTGAGCAAACCTCCGTACAGAAACTGGCCTCCCTGGGAGAAACCCATGGCGTTGTAGCCGCCCTGCAGCCGGGCGTCCTGCGCCAGCTGGCTGCACACCATCGACACCTGAGTGTTCACGTCCAGGAAGAAGCCGTTCTCTGTGTCCTGCAGGACGAACCGTCACTCTGTCGTTAATCACATTTTAGTCACACTATGGCTGCAAAAATGCACCTTTTCCAATTCCTCTTTCTGCTGCTACATTATTAAATAAATACACATCTGAGCTCAACAACAACAAACACATTTATAGATTGAATCTGTTCTTCAGGTTCTTCAACCATCAGACTGAAGCAAAGAGTTTCAGGATCCCTGATCATTCATGGAGCTTCTTTAGATGCGGCATGTTTAGCATTGAGATGCTATTTTAGGATAGCATAGCGTAGCTTCATCAATAAGCTAACTTCTTTTAACACAACTTGCACAAATCAATAGTGTTTTCCAGAATCCAATCAGATCGATTAAAAGCAGAAATTAAAACCTGAAGAGACTCAGTTTCATCACTTTATTTTACATATGAATGCAAAATATAAAGTAGAGACTAATTCTGTTCAAATGTTTACAGCGTCGCCATGGGGACCCGTCGCCATGGGGACCCGTCGCCATGGGGACCCGTCGCCATGGGGACCCGTCGCCATGGGGACTGGTTACCTCAACCACGTTCTTCCCGATCATCAGAGAGAGCACGTAGATCCCTGGGATCTCCTCCTCCATCATCTTCTTTATGGATCCCATGCTGAGCGGGTTGCAGCAACTGTCACCTGGAGGACACAGAACCAGGAGCAGAACCGGTACAGAACCAGTACCATGCGTTTTCCAGGCAACTTCAACCATTTAAATTAGCACTTAAGAATTTATTAGAAAAATGAAGTTGGGGGAAGCTAAATGTGCTAAACATTACCAAAGATGGCGCTCATATCCCTACGTCTAGAGCAGAGACGCCACGTTCCAAAGCTCTGAAATGAGCTTAGCAGCTGTTTGCTAATTGCTGCTGGCTAGTCTGAAGGAGCTGAGTGGAGGATGAGCTGCGCCTTAGAGGCGGGGCTAGGTCCACCCAGGCGTTTAGCGGCTGAATGATTGGCATGGAGACTAAAGGAGTCCTGTTTTGTTTTGGATGAGGAAAAACAAAAACATGATGGGAAGATCAGAAAAGTGGATTTTACAAGGGGCGGTACATGATACCACTCCTTCACTGGTAGGAGAACCAGCTCTGATCTTCAGTCAGAGCTGGACTGAAGGACTGGTATGAAGCTACCAGAACCAGTACTGGTCTCAGCCTCTGTTCTGGTTCTGTCTAGTTGGCTGTATTAATCCAGAGCAGACTGACCCATCCCGTGCCACAGAACCAGAGGAACCGTCCCATTGTTGGAGTCAGGAACTGGACCAGAAGCGACCAGCAGCAGCAGAGCAGCCAGGGTCAGGGCGAGGAGGGCGGCGGCCATCTTGAAACTGACAACACAGAAACACAGGTCCGATTAGCAGCTGGAGAACCTCCACAAGTCCCAAGGAGCAGAACATGTTGAAGTGAGACCTCCTGTTTGCACACAAGCTTTGTTGTTTTTATGTTTTCCACCTGTAGTCAAAATAATAAACAGGAAGTGATGTCAGATGTTTTCGTTATGGGTTCCACTGTCAGCATCAGACCCATAAAGTTTATGTTGAGGCTTCACTCTAAATTTATTTTGTCATTATTTATTAATGTAAGTTTTTATTTTACTCTTTAAGATACCAGAAACTGAACCAAACTTGATCTTTTCTGTCTGACGTCATTTATAAATATTAAATCAGGTTTTATCATCAGTCTCTGTTTTCAATAGTTTTTACCTGTACTGGAAGAATTCTTTGGATAAGTTTTACCTTTACTAAAGTAAAAAATATATTTAAGTCATAATAATAATAATAATAATCCAGTTAATTCATAAAGCACGACTTCACAACAAATGTCTCAGCAAGTAATTCTACGGGTCAAACAGAACTAATCTACAGACAGGAGTATAAAATCCAGTCAGTCCAGGTTGACATTAAATCCCAGTTCTGACTCTATGCTGTCAGATCCAGATTATAATCCCATTTATTATCTGTAAAACTAGCAGATTGAGTCAAGGCACCGACCACAAACCGTCATAATGAAAGGTTGATGATGTGTGGCAGACTTTAAACCAATCAGAATCTTAATCATTCAGAGTGATTGGTCTCAGGTTCTGGTGCCAGGTTCTGGTGCCAGGTTCTGGTGCCAGGTTCTGGTGCCAGGTTCTGGTGCCAGGTTCTGGTGCCTGTCAGGTTCTGGTGCCAGGTTCTGGTTCTGCTCGTTAATCTGGTCCAGACTCGCTCCAGTGTTTAAACTTCATATCTAATCAGCTCCTGGTTCTGCTGTTTGGTTTATTATTGAATGAGCAGGAAAGTCTACAGAATGCCCGATAAGGTCTGTTTGAACTAATGATTATTATGGGATGTTACTTCAGTTCACTGCGTCGTTTCACAAATGACCGAAAACAAACCAAATAAAATCCGTTTTTATAGGAACAGAAACGGCGCTTTGCTCCACTGAAGGTTTAGATCCATCAAACAAAACTTTAAAATCAGATTCTTCTTATTTATTGATCTTAAATAATATTAAAACTGTTATAAAACCTGAGGAAACGCAACTCACCGCCAAACTGCTTCCTGTTTGATGGTTCAGCTGCTGGTCACGTGACTCATGTTTGGAGCGAGTAGCCAATCAGAATCCAGCTGAAGCTAAGCTAGCTCTGTTAGCATCCCTTTAACTTGCTGCTACAGAGGTTCTGGAACAGCGAACCCGTCCGGTGCTGAGCCGCTCAGAACCGGGTCCGCCGACATGTTCTGATTCGGTCCGAACCTCCAAGCTATAAACAACAGGCTGCGGTTCCGGTTCGGTCGACTGGGTTCCGATAGCCGGGCTTCGGAGAAGCCAGGAGTCCAGTTCTGATCCGGTCCAGGATGAATATCCAGTACCAGGAGCCGAACCTGGGCAGCAGCTACAGCGTGGTGGGTTCGTTCCCGAAGAGCTTCGGTTATGGCGGGCAGGACCGGGACCGGGACCTGGACCCGGACCTGGACCCGGAGGAGGGGAACCCGTCCGCCAGCAGACCCAGAATCCTGCTGATGGGTCTGAGGAGGAGCGGCAAGTCCTCCATCCAGAAGGTACCGAGGTTCCGACCCAGGAGCAGGATCAGAACCAGGCTGACCACCGGTTCTGATCCAGAACTCCCTGGGATCCTGGTTCTGAAGATGTTCTGTGGTTTTTACCTCCTGTCTGCATCCGAATCAAGAGGTTCTGTGAAACTCCGACCAGATCACAGTACCAGTTTGATTCGGGGTTCTACTTCAGATTATGACCGGAAATAAGATTAGTTACCATGACTACCGATGTGAGGATGCGCCATGACTTTGAAACAAAACTGAAGTTCTAGATCTGACCTCTGACCTCTGACTTCCGAGCCACATAAAGACGGTTAGAAAGTCAGCCTGTCAGCTGAGGTTCAAGATGTTTTTCTGTTTTCACTTTGAGCTCCGTGTTGCTGCAGAAGTAAATGTGATGGTTTGACGCGTTCCTGGTGGCGCTGTGTTCCGGTCCAGGTGGTTTTCCACAAGATGTCTCCCAACGAGACGCTGTTCCTGGAAAGCACCAACAAGATCTACAAGGACGACGTCTCCAGCAGCTCCTTCGTCAGCTTCCAGATCTGGGATTTCCCCGGACAGGTGGACTTCTTCGACCCGACGTTTGACAGCGAGATGATCTTCAAGGGAACCGGAGCGCTCATCTTCGTCATCGACGCTCAGGTAGCAGGTCAGGGCTCAGTCACCTGACGCGCGGTCTGATCAATTATCCTGACGATTGATCTGATAAATTCACATCCTGCAGGTTTTTCAGTTAACCACTTAAACTTTTTTTATTCTTTAGAAAATAAAATAAATTCCTTTTTTAAATAAATGTTTGATTTAAAAAATCTAACATGAAAATCTCAGCTGAACATCTACACAACGTAGAGCTCATCTGATTATCAATTATTGATCACTGATTAATAACTGGATAGAAAAATGTGATAACAGGAGATTTTTTTATAGAATGTGAAACTAAAACTATTAAGACTTAAACGCTGAATGTTTAAATGTTCAGTGTTCTTTCACTAAATGGTCTTTTATGTTTTCCAATTAATAATTAATCGATTACTGAATTAGTTTATTATTCCAATTATCAACTAAAGCTGCAGTATGTAACTTTTGTAAAAATATTCTTTACTTTTTTGTTCAAACTGTTTTGATATGAAATCTGAGAAAAAATCTCCATGTTCTTCCAGAGCTAACTGGAAACAACCAATCGGAGCCAGGAGGCGGGTTTTAGCGCTGTCAATCACCGTCTCCTGTGGCGCTGCTCATCCTGCAATTCCTCTCTGCTTCACTGTAGCTAGCTGTGTAGCTTTAGCTAGTAAAGCTTCAGCCATTGCTGACATCAGATAATTGCTTTTCCTGTACTGTGAGGTTTTTCTCTGTTATTAACACTTTTAACGGCGATTACAGGAGGATTGACTGACAGCACTAAGCCCCGCCTCCTGGCTCTGATTGGTTATTTTTATTCTGATTAATCATTTCAGACCGATCTGGTTTGTGTGAATCCTGCAGATCAGCGATTTCTTCAGTTCCTCTCGGCTCTCCTCTACCATCGTTCTGTAGTCCTCTATCGATGCTTCCTGGATTATAATCCGCTGTAATCTGCAGGACGACTACATGGAGGCTCTGGGCCGGCTGCACCTCACCGTTTCCAGGGCCTACAAGGTCAACCCGGACATCAACTTCGAGGTTTTCATCCACAAGGTGGATGGACTGTCTGACGACCACAAGATCGAGACGCAGCGAGACGTCCACCAGCGAGCCAACGACGACCTGGCCGACGCCAGCCTGGACAGGCTGCACCTCAGGTGAGCCGGACCGGACCGGAACCGGCTCGTCTGGACCGGTTCTGACCGTCTCCCTGCTCCGATCCGCAGCTTCTACCTGACCAGCATCTACGACCACTCCATCTTCGAGGCCTTCAGCAAGGTGGTGCAGAAACTCATCCCTCAGCTTCCCGCCCTGGAGAACCTGCTCAACATCTTCATATCGGTAGGTTCCAGCGCCGCCGCCACGCCGGGTCCGGTCCGGTTCGGTCCCTAACATCCGGTCCGCTCTGCAGCACTCGGGCATCGAGAAGGCCTTCCTGTTTGACGTGGTCAGTAAGATCTACATCGCCACCGACAGCTCGCCGGTGGACATGCAGTCCTACGAACTCTGCTGCGACATGATCGATGTCGTCATCGACGTCTCCTGCATCTATGGGTGAGCAGAACTGGACCCAGTCCCATCAGAACTTTATAGAGATGGTTCTGATTAGGGATGCAAGTTACAGATTAATGAGTTGATCTAAAGTTGATTGATAAGCAGCCATTTTTTTAAAGACCTTTGGCTTGAATCTACATAAAGGACAAAATAATATGTGGAATTACAGAAAAACAAAAAAATTCAACCTTATTTTGTGTGTCATGTATTAACAACTGATTGAATCAACAGAAAAAGGTGGTTTAAAAATGACAAATATTCATAAATTATAACTAAACAGAAACCTCTAAGGTCGCTGAATAGGAAAATGCAAAGACGAAAAGAACAAAATATGTGAAACTCATAATTTCTCATCATCTGGTTGCTTTATTTTTGGTTCATTAGTTCACAACAGACCTCATAATCAACTGAGCTCCAATTTTTCTGCGCCGTTTTTCACAGAAGGGAAACAGCAGCTGTTGTAAAATCTCCTGTAATGTTTAGTGAAGTTGATTGTGCTTTAAGGAGAGATTTATATAGTTTATATTTCAAAACAGAACCACTTTAACCGTTTTACTTCCCAAACCAGACTCTTTCTGGTGTGTCCGCTATTTCTGTTTCTGGCTCCACTTCAGGATGACCAGCAGCTCCCCCTGCTGGCTGGTGACCAAACTACAACAATGAAACAAAGTGTAAGCAGAGGTTATTGGATAAATATTGGAATTACTGCTAATGGAATAAATCATTAATCGACAACCAATCGTAATTCAACTAATTGTATCCATAGTTCTGTAAAGTTTGGAGTTGCTTCTGATGGTTCTCTTGGTTCCTCCAGGCTGATGGAGGACGGCGGCGGCTGCGCCTACGATGACGAGTCTCTGGCCATCATCAGACTGAACAACACCACGGTTCTCTACCTGAAGGAGGTCACCAGGTTCCTGGCTCTGGTCTGCATCCTGAGAGAGGAGAGCTTCGAGAGGAAAGGTCTGTGAGCGCTCCGCTCTCACTCTCACCTGAAAAACTGCTGTTTCGTTTCACTCTGATGCTCCAACGGTCCGGAGAATCTGGAGAAGAAAATGGCTGATGGAAAAATGTCTTCTTTGTGTCCTCCTCTCCTAAAATCCTCTGTAGGACGAAATGTTTTGTTGTTTTCTGCGGAAAACTGAGGAACTTTAAAGGCCCAACAGGAAGTGACCCGTGTTCTGCTTCCTGTCCAGGTCTGATCGACTATAACTTCCACTGTTTCCGGAAGGCGATCCACGAAGTGTTTGAGGTGGGAAGCCTTTTTGACGGCGCCGTCTGGACGTCGGTTACTTCCTCCAACACCAAGCAATTGGCCCAGAAGAGCCCGGTTCTGAACGGGAGCGCCGTGTAAAGCTGCTGGAGACCCGGAAACCTCCAGAACCTCCACAGCCAGACAGCTGGACACAGACAGGAAACCGACTGGAAAACTGCAAGTCCAGATCCGTTTTCCAGGTTCTGTCTCAAGGATGCAGATGGTTCTGGAAGCTGAAATGTTTCCCAGTAAACCCAGCTTATTGGTCCCAGCAGGTCCATCTGGAACCCATAGAACCTCCGTCAGTGGAGACGGGCCTTCATCTCTCAGTGTGAGGTTAGAGTCCAGAACAGAACCAGAACTGGACCAGAACTGACCCAGTTTGACCAGAACACATCTAGAACTGGACCAGTTTGACTGTGCTGGTTCTGAAGAAGCTTTTAGCCACAGATCCGTTTGGTGCTTTTATTTTGGTGTGGATTTTTAAAGGTTCTGCAGAACTTTGTGTTTTGTTTCTGGTGAAGAACAATAAAGTTTTTATGTTTCAAAATCGTCACATTTATTTTAGTTTATATTAATGTGTTTAGTGGTTTAATGTTCCTGGTTAGTGAATCAAACTTCTTGGTTAGAATGGAAACATTGTCCATGGTAGCCATTTTGAAAAATGTCCATCTGAAAAAGGAAACGTCAAGAAAATGTTTGATTTGGTTCAAAATATGTGGGTTTGACACCAAATTTATTCGTTTAATTTGTAATTTTGGTGCAAAAATTCATTTTCCATAACAACTGTGGCGGCCATATTGAAAAATCAGAAAACAATCAGTAGATGCAATGTCCACTTATGTATAATTTGACATCTGTCAGAAATTTTGGAAAATTTAGTGCAAAAATAGAAGTTTCTCAATGATCGTCTTGTTTTTTTTAGCAGGCCCCTGTGAACATCTGTGCCAATAAGTGAAGCTGTTTGGATCCGAAATGGAATCACCAGAACCAGAACCTTTTATTTGTCGTTTAAAATTGATGAATGAATCAGAACCCCCTGCTGTAATTACGATCCCCCGCCAGCAGGGGGCGGAGTAACTCCAAGCCCACCTGGCTGCAGCAAACAGGGAGGGGCGGGGCATCTCAGCTGCTTTGGTCACATGAGCTGCAAACTAAAAACCTAAGAAAACTTTCAATGGCAGGTAAAATAGCAGGTTGGTGAAAAGTTCAAACTTGAGTTAAAACTCTGGTTAAATGTTAACTTTTAACTCAACAACCTGTACCCAACAGGTAGAGGGTAACAAGATCACTAGATCCTCTTAAAGATGGAGAAAGTCCTGAAAGATACAGGAAGTGTTTTCAGCCAAGTTGAGCTGAATGTCCAGGATGACAGCAGGAGTTTAAAACGAGCTTCAGTTTCAACAGGTTGAGAAACTGGAACCACCTTCAGGTTTAATGATCTCCTTTAATTAACTCTACTGCCTGAGGAAAATGGAAAGCTGTTGTTTTGTGAGGAAATTTATATTTTACTGTTCCAGTAATGCCAGAACAAGTGAAATCATTTCATTATGAAGGTAATTAAACATTACAAGAACTCAAAAGTCCAATTCCTAAACCAGCAGGTTAATAACATATTGGGTGGAATTTCTCTTGTTATAGTAACATTTTCTGTTTTACATTCCTCACTTTGTTTTTTCTTTCTATCTGATTTTGTGGCTTCGGCTGTGATCTGTAGTTACTGTTTGAATTCTCATTAAAGGAACCTGACCCGGTTCCGGTTCTCCCATCTGATTCTGACCACAAATAATTAAATAAAGGAAGAATGGGAGGCGAGAAGAGCAGGAGGAGGAGGCAGCGGTCTGCTCTTCCTCCTCCTTCTCCTCTTCCTCATCTTCCTCTTCCTCCGCCTCTCTGCCTCAGTCCGTGGAAAAGATTCCCGACGTGTGGGAGCAGCGAGGAGCAGCGAGGAGCCCTGTAACGGTAAGCTTGCCTTTACTGAGTTGCAGGGGTCACCAGGGGTCACATTTAATCTCTGTGAGCTGCACAGGCCTGTGCACATAGTCTCACCTGTCCTCACTTTGAGCTCGAAGCTGATTGGTTAATTAAGTTGAAGGTTTCTGTCCCTGGACGAGAAACGGGTCAGGAAATGTTTGGTTCAAGCAGACTCCGAACCGGACCAAGGCATAAGCAAACTGAGCCCCGGGGCTGAGACCGCTTCAAATATTTCTCTTAAGTTTATTTTTTATTATAATTTAATGTAATGTTAATGTTTAAGGTAACAATTTGTCACAATGTGACAAAATTGTGCCAAATTGTTATGAGTCACAATTTTATCACATTTCCCTCCAGAAAAAGAGAATTTGACCATGTTGACCTGTAAACTCGGTTCAGTTCTGTTCTACAGTATTTCTGGTCCATTTTGTGGAAATCATTATGCCTTAACGCCAGCATAATGATAATTCCTATTTCTCCATCCCGATGAAAACCAAACAGGAATCTGAATGTTTCTGTGGTTTTCAGCCTGAGATCAGAGGAAAAAACCGGATTCATTTTCACCATTTTACTTTTCATTCTAAAAATTTAACAATTTCAACCCAAAATTTAGCTTCCAACTAAATTATTAACTTATCTACCTTAATAAAATTCCTTGAAATAAAATGACCAAATTAGCAAAGTAATATTTAGTTACTATGCTAAATACTTAGCTTCAAAATAAAACAACGGTTCTGACGGGTCAGACCCCTGCAGGCGGTTCCGGTCCATCCTGCCAAACAGACGTGTTCCTGCTGCTGAGATCCAAACGTTCCTCCAGGACCGGCTCATAGTTTCCGTTCTCATGTTCCGACCCGCTGAGCACCGGTTCTGTTCTGAGCGCAGTCACATTCCTGATGCGTCCTGGAGGTTTGGCAGGCCTCAGCAGGACGGGTTCTGACCCGGTCCGTCTCAAAAGAATTACAACACTTGGAGTCTCAGGTGCCCAAGCTGTGGCGCCGGGCCCTTTGATAATTAGAACTTTTAAAGTTCTGGAAAAAGTTCTGGAAACGTTCCTTAAAAAATGAAACCTTTAAAGATCCATTTAGGTTCTGGTTCTGAAAAGGTTCACAGAACCCTGACAATGACGTAAGTTATGGAAAACATTCTGGAAGTCTGACAGCAGCTGACTGGTTCTGTTGGTTCTGGTTCCAGCATCGGCCCACATGCTGGATCAGTAAAACCTGAAACACCCGATGCTTCAGACATCAGAACCCGGTTCTCCTGGTTCTGCTGGATCAGTTCTGATCATGTTTTAATGGTTCGGCTTGCAGACTGACAGGTCCAGTAGAGAACCAGAACCAGAACCAGCTGGTCCAGTCCTGCTTCGGAACATTTCAGGTTCTGGAATAAAACCTTCAGCTGCAGTTTCCACTCCTGTGATCCGCCATCTTTGTAGTCTTTAAAGCTAAAGGACTACAATTACAGTCATTCTGGTCAACGGAAATGATCCGGAACTTTCTATTGAAGTTCTTCTAGAATATCCAGAACTTTATTGGACCTGGTTCTGGAACCTCCATCTTCCAGCTTCTGACTCGCCCAGTCTGGTCCGGTCCGGTCCGGTTCGGTCCGGTTCGGTCTGGAGAAGCTGTTAAATGTTCTGAAACATGAGGTTCTGATGGAGCAGCCGGCCGGGCCGCCGGTCCAGATGGCCGCAGTGAAATCTCCATAAAAGGTTCTGAATGGAATCTGAGCCGGACGGGTTTATGATCCAGATTTTTCTGACACCGGAACCCGACCGGAGACACTTTCCATCTGGCTCCCATCTCCAAGTGGGCCGAACCGAACCGGTCCGTAAACCTGTCCAGAACCAGAACTGACAGGAAGGAATGTGTTTGTTTAATGTCTGAGCTGCAGGGCCAAACTGGAACCAGAACCAGAACCAGAACCAGACCTCTGGTCCCACTCTGCACGTCTGACTCCGTCGGGTTCGGGTCCGACCCGGTCGGGTTGGGGGAAGTTCCGCTAAAAGAAGCAGCAGATGTTTCTGAGCAGGAAGGAAGTCCATTGTTCTGGTTCTGCATTCCGGGTCAGTAGCAGAACCAGAATAGAAACCCGAACCTCTGAGGACGTTCCAGGAGTTAGCCTGTCTGTTCCTCTGACCCGGCAGAGGTTCTGCTACCAGAACCGAACTCTACCCTCCTTCTGCTGCAGCCGAACCGCAGGTCCATATTGCTGGTTCTGACCCGCTTTCTGACCCGCAGGTCGGAACCATGAGCGAACCGCCGAGCTGCAGGAGCTGCAGCGAGTCGCTGAGCGGACAGAAGTTCATCCGGGAGGCGGAGGAGCCGCTCTGCGTCCGCTGCGACCCGCGGCGCCACGCCCACACCTGCCAGGAATGCAAGCAGCTGATTGGACACGACGAGAAGGTACGTCCTCCACGCGACCGGGCCGGAACCACGCGACCGGGCCGGAACCAGGGTCGGAACCAGGGCCGGACCTAGGGCTGGACCTAGGGCCGGAACCAGGGCCGGAACCAGGCTATGGGTCCTGCTGACTCTAAACTATATGTGATTATTTTTAAAGAGGCGAAGCTTCATCAACTCAAACCTTCTGCTCATGTCAACATGAAACTCAAAATAAAAGATGAAAGTTTTAGTTTTATGTGAGCAGACATTTCCCCACATACCTCAAAGATCGATCAGATTATTTCTGACTGGCTGGACCGGCTGGCCGGTCTGGACTGACGTCATGACGTCACTTCGTCTCACTGGTTTCTCACCAGACTGTCTGACGTCAGAGGAAGTCACTCCTAAAATCCCTTAGATGCTCTACAAATTAATAAATGGATTGAAACCTACATTACTCTACATTATTTTAGTCACTTCATGGTAAAAGTTATATATATATATATATATATATATATATATATATATATATATATATATATATATATATATATATATATATATATATATATATATATATATATAGATATGTTACTGTATCTTACTTTAGCAGAACAGTTATTCTATAAACTGGTTGATACAGAAACACAGTTTTTGATACATTTGGTAGAAAACCTCAGTTTATTACAACAAAACAAAGGCATCACATGTCAATTTATCAATTTATTACATATTAAATTAATGTTAAAGAATGTCTGATTGATTCAGATTGAAGCTGAGCTGTTCTGACCGGATGGAGACCGGATCAGAACATTGCTGGTCCTGTGGGCTGCAGAGGGACCTGACCTTTGACCTGGTGTGAGAGGTTCCAGCCGGACTGTCCCGGACGGGAAACCAGCAGGAAGTGGTTCCTTTGGCGGTCTTCGTCTGCAGGCGGCGGCTCCACATTTTGGAGATAAGGAGCCTGACGGATGAGGCCTTCAGGTTCAGTGGGAAAAAGCAGCTCTGGAGGAAGCAGCTGCAGACAGCAGCAGATCTCTGATAGGCTGTGAGTTATGGCTCCTCTCCTCCTCTTCCTCCGCTCAGATAAACAACAACACATCTTCATCGCTCTGCTTCCCGTCGCCTTAATGGAGCCGTCCATCATCGCTGCAGCTTCTGCTCTCACAGATCTACGTGAACCGAGCTTCAGTCCGCACGCAGACCCGACCTTTCACCAGGCACCACAGGGGCTGCTCTCTCTGGGGTCACAGGTCAGGGGGTGAACGACTCTCTGGTTCAGCTCACCTTCTGATGCAGAACCGGATCAGAACCAGAACCTGAAACAGAACCAAAACCAGAACAGAACAGAATTATCCTTCTCCAAGTTCTTGGTTTCTGAGGTTGAAGAGTCAGTGAGTGGATTTCCTGGATCCTTTAGCAGCAAAATGGCCTCCACTAAGCTCCGCCCTAAAGAGGGCGTTCCCTAACGTGTCATGTCCTTTAGCTTTAGCTTAGCAACTAGCTAAAAGACACAGAAATATTTATTCTAAATATAATCCAGACCAGACCAGAAGAACTCAACCGGACCGGACCGGACCGGACCGGACCGGACTCGCATCAGTGAAGATTAGAACTTAGCACAACTTTTACTTTGAAAGAGCTGCAGGGATATTTTGGATTGAAATATTTTAACTGTGGTCCCCTTTCCCCAACCTCTGACCTCTGACCTCTGACCTCCTCCATGTCTCTGCAGGAGCTGATGCACCAGGACAGATTCTTCCATGAGAACTGCTTCAGGTGCTGCAGCTGCAACCGCTCTCTGACCGCTGAGCCGTTCACCCAGCAGGGCGGCGCTCTGCTCTGCAGCTCCTGCTATAGCAGCCGCTTCTCCTCCCGATGCACCGCCTGCAGCCAGAGCGTCCAGCCAGGTGGGGGCGGAGTCTGCAGCCAGGTGGGGGCGGAGTCTGCAGCCAGGTGGGGGCGGAGTCTGCAGCCAGGTGGGGGCGGAGTCTGCAGCCGGGTGGGGGCGGAGTCTGCAGCCGGGTGGGGGTGGAGTCTGCAGCCGGGTGGGGGTGGAGTCTGCAGCCGGGTGGGGGTGGAGTCTGCAGCCGGGTGGGGGTGGAGTCTGCAGCCGGGTGGGGGTGGAGTCTGCAGCCGGGTGGGGGTGGAGTCTGCAGCCGGGTGGGGGTGGAGTCTGCAGCCGGGTGGGGGCGGAGTCTGCAGGCAGGTGGGGGTGGAACCCAGTTGACCTCATCCACAGGTCCCCAGTGGATCTGGAGTTTCTGCCGAGTCCGTTTCGTGTCCCGCTATCCGTCCTAGAAGTCATAAAACCTGCTGATTAGAGATTCTGATTCTGGTTCTGGCTCCAGCAGCTGATGGACTCCAGAGTCTTCAGAGTCCCGTCGCATGCCGAGCTGCAGCTCTGCTTTCCCTCAGTCTGTCTGGAAGCCAGACCAGCAGTTTGTTCTGGTTCTGGTCCAATCGAGCGGCGTCTGTCCCTCAGGGTCCAGGATGCTGGAGTACGACGGCACGGCGTGGCACGAGGACTGCTTCCTGTGCAGCGGCTGCAGGAAGCCGATCGGAGCCGAGGCCTTCGTCCCGGACGCCGGGCGCTTCTACTGCCTGGCCTGCTACGAGCAGCAGGTGGCGCCACGTTGCAGCCACTGCAAGAAGGTGAGGAAGAAGAAGCCAACTTCGCTTTGGGCTGCAACTATTCTGACGATTAATTGGTTAGAAAACGAAACATTCTGCACATTCTTCATATAATATCAGATCAAAACATGCAAATAAATGATTGAATTTCTTTTTCAATGAAAGAAATCTTCATCTCAAAGTGAAAACCAGCATTCCTTCTCCTGAATAAATCCTTCTGACAGAAACATGAAAAGCTTCAACAGAATGTTTTACAGTGTTGGAATCCTGAATCCTGAACCAAGTTTTCACTCATCGATTAATCGATTCAGCTTCAGCTGTCTGGAGCTCCCGACCCTGTGCCCAATCGGTTCCGACCCGGTCCTGACCCGGTTCTGCCCCGCTCCGTCCTGCAGGCGCTGACCAAAGGCGGGCTGACGTACCGGGGCGAGGTGTGGCACCGGGACTGCTTCCTGTGCTGCGGCTGCGGCTCTCCTCTGGCCGGACAGACCTTCACCTCGCAGGGCGAGCGGCCGTTCTGCGTCAGGTGCTTCAGCAGCCTGTACGCCAAGAAGTGCGCCGCGTGCAACACGCCCATCACAGGTGAGACTGGTTGGCGACCCGCCACAATAAAAGCCTGGAAATCATCTCCAGGTTTTCATCTGGAGAATCAAATGTTTGCAGAAAGAAACTGATTATGAGAGAAAAGAGAAGTGTGATCAGTAATATCACTAATATTTTTATTAATTTTTTTGGTTGGTTTGGTGCCGTAACTTCCTGTCTAGTAATAAGAGAAACAGCAAAACATTTTCAACTGCATTAGATTTTATTCCAGCATTATGTGAGCAGAGGCGGCTTGTAAATATATAGTTATTAATAATCATAAATAGTTCTATCTGAATACGTTTTGGAAGAGTAAAAGGTTTTGGGATAGTTTTGCTAAAACAGACATTTTACTTTTATTGGAGTAAAATTTCAGGATCGTCTGACCATAACTTTGTTTGACGTCATCATTATCAATAATAAATCGGATGTTATCATTGAACCCTTTTGCCAAATTCTGCACATTAAAGCTGAAGTCAGTTTTGATTTCTGTAAAATGTCTTGAGGTTCTGCGGAGGAAAACGTCCATGTTGATCCAGCAGCATCAGAGGTTTAAACAGTGATATTAGCGAAGCGGATGACCCGGTTCTGACCCAGTTCTGACCCGGTTCCGCAGGTTTCGGCGATGGGAAGTACGTGTCGTTCGAGGAGCGCCAGTGGCACCAGCCCTGCTTCAAATGCTCGCGCTGCTCCGTGTCGCTGGTCGGGTCCGGGTTCTTCCCCGACCGGGACCAGATCCTCTGCGCCGACTGCAACAGCGACGACTGAACACCAGAACCGGTTCCAAACACCAGAACCGGCTCCAAACACCAGAACTGGTTCTGCTCACCGCAAAAATCATAAAAAATTGAAACACGAAACCTTGTGTCTGCTTTTATTCGTTGTTAGAACCGGGTCGGCCACTTGGTTTTGGAGCTGAAGGTCGATATGGACCAGAACCTGATGCAGATGGTCCGGTTCCCTGCTGGATGCGTCGGGGAACGCTCAGGAGGTTCTGGAGAGTCGGCCCGGTTCTGAGATTAAAATCTGATTTCTGAGATTAGAGTCACAGTGTTTGCTAACCAGAACCTCTGTCAGAACCTCCCGGCTCATAAATGTATCTTTGGGAAGATCAGAAAGAACCGCCCCTCCATGATGTCATCAGTGATGTCACCAGTGATGTAATCATCTAAATGTTTACAGATCAGAACCTCTGTGCTGGTCCTCTTTGATTGTGTTTATGTTGGACCGGGCGGGCTCCCTGTCAGATGTTCTGCTTAGAGTCCGGCTCTCATGCAGGATGTGAGACGGAACCGGAGGTCGGGCTCTGAGGTTCTGGAGCCTTCCTGTGATGGAGTTTAGAATCAGTTGAGGTCAGCGTGGGGTCATGCGGCTGAGGCGTTCCCATGACTCTCCTCCAGTCTGGTTGACCTTCCTCTCTGGTCCCAGCAGCGCCAGACCCCGCCCACTCACCAACTGTCCCCGCCCACTCACCACCAGGCCCCGCCCACTCACCACCAGACCCCACCCACTCACCACCAGACCCCACCCACTCACCACCAGACCCCACCCACTCACCACCAGACCCCGCCCACTCACCACCAGGCCCCGCCCACTCACCACCAGGCCCCGCCCACTCACCACCAGGCTCCGCCCACTCGCCGCCAGGCCCCACCCACTCGGCCATGGATGAAGATGACCACATTGTCTCCCTCATGGCGGAAGCAGCAGGCCCCGCCCCCAGCGTCATGATGACAAACATTAGCATGGAAAGCTACTGGTTGCTATGGCTGCAGTTTGGATGATTCAGCCTGGCAGAAACACAAAGTCATATTTTCACCACGTTATCCTTATTCATAAATGTAACAGTTTCAGGATAAATATTTAGCTTGGAGATAAATATTAATAACTGATCAATATTTAGATAAATATTTTGGATAGCATCTAAAATGAATGAGCTTCAGTTCAATAGTTAACTATCTGAATGTTTAGCTTGCCTACTAAATATCGATAAATAGCCCAAATTATTCTTGTTCTTTTGTAACTTTACAAACTCTTCAGATCTGGATCCGTGAACATTGAAAGTTCGGTTCCTTTGATCCCGTCCTGTTTGTGTCTTTGGGCCCAAATGTTCGGGACCAGCTGTGCTGCAGTTGATTATTCAGTTATTTTTAGTCACCAGTGACCCGCTGACCCTCCGCTGGGTCAGAATCACAGCGACCCGCTGTGGCTCAGAGAAATCGCCTGTGAGTTCTGGGTCCTCCCAGCGGTTCCGGTTCGGTCCAGCCCTCCCAGTGACTCAGGCCCGCTTTATTATTGTGAAGACGTTCGGTGACGTCATCAGGAAGGTTCTGAGTGACTGGTTCAGCTCCTCATCTTCACTAATAATTACTAACCTCTGATGGAGATCGCTGAAGACGATGTTTTTCCCAAGGTGCTGTATCTAAGTATCACAGAAAGTCGAGTGGAAGGAAAAAGTGCAGCAACACCAGGGAAAACAGCAGCCATGAGCAGATTGTTAAGCAGAATTCATTCAGGAATCTGGAGCAACTTCAGCAGGAGTCAGAACATCCAGGTCCACCGGGATTGGACCCGGGCTGAGGGGAACCAGGACCGGTCCAAAGTCATCTGGGCATCCAGTGACACTTCCGGTCAAAAATGATCTGCTCTGATCACTATGGTAACCTCCACATGTCCCTTCAAAATAAGATGCAGCTGCGCCACAAAAACGACATTTTACTTTGGTGAAAGTTTTAACTCAGGATATCGACTGATGGACCCTGAGCTGTTTCTCCTTCTGGAGACGAGAGACACCTGGTCTCCATGGTGACGAAGTCTGAGGCTTTATCGCCTCATCAGCATCCGGTCACCTGATCATGCAGAGCAGCTTGGACTGTGGGAATCAACCCACCGGGATAAATCCATCCTCCTGCCTCTCTGGGCCTTTAACCTTCAGACAAACTTAAAATCTGTTTCTGACTCATTTTGCTGCTTGTGGCTCAATGTTGGCGCGCAAGATATTGTAGGAGTTTCAAAATAAAAGATCCTCCAGACTCAATACATAAAAACGGAAACACGTAATTATTTCTTGCTGCCCAGCACCAATTAGTCCACAGACCGGTACCGGGTGTTGGGGACCACTGCTATGAAGTATTTATTTTTTATTTAGCTTAAATAATTTTAATTATTTTTTTCTTCAAAATAATAACATTTTGAAGAAATCTTGATTTTGAAATTCAAACAACATTTGAATTTCCCATTTAAATGCTTGGAAGCGCAGCAGGTGAGGCAGCAGCGAGCCGAGCCTCACCTGGACTGATGCTGTCTGTATGGCGCCAATAAAATGGTTAAAAAACATTTAATACATGGACTGATTTTCCATAATTTAGCTTATTTATATAATGTACAGTTCGTGTGCAGAGAAGCGATCAGAAATCAGAACAGACTGGAGGCAGTTCTCTGGCCTTATAGCAGACACCGAGACTGCAGAGTAAGATACAGTGAGCTACTAGCCCCTGGAGCTACTAGCCCCTGGAGCTACTAGCCCCTGGAGCTACTAGCCCCTGGAGCTACTAGCCCCTGGAGCTACTAGCCCCTGGAGCTACTAGCGTGAGAGCGGCGCCACAATTCGGGATATTTACGGGAAAATAACCCAGGAGTGCGGCGGGTAAAACACGGTAGTTTCCCGGCCAAAATGGGAGACTTTTTTGTCACGGCAACGAGTTTGTGTGTAGCTTCACCGATATAGAGCGAGACAGAAGTGGGTTTGAGTTGTACTTCAACGGTTTTTCTGTGGAGCATAAATTAGAAATATCTACATTTCCCGGTTGAATTGAGTGAACGGCACGGCGAAGGAAGGCTTTTGCCTTTCAGCGTCGTGCGCACGAGTGACATTTCCCTATGTGAACAACAGCATGCAGGGGGTCTATATTAGTAAATCCGATTATGATCCAATCAGTGCCGCACATCACTGGACCAGAGGTTAACTGAAAGGCCTCCGGCGCCTCCTGCTGGCAGCAACATGTACTACAACAGGAACTACAACAGTCAGAAATCCAACTAAGCTTAAAGTTTTATGGAGAAATACAAAAGTTTCCGTTATGATTATAATAAATATTATTCAGGTACAAATAAAACTAGATTATTAAGAAAAGGTCTAACAGATTATTATTTAGACTTAAAACACATGCAGGAAAACCTGGTCCCAGACTGGTTCCAGTCCAATTCTGCTCTCCACTTGGAAAAATCACTGAACACATCTGAAAAAACCTGCTCGTCTGGCCGGCTCGGCCCGGTGATGGATAGTAGAACTTTCAGAAATCAAACATCAACGTTTCCAACATTTTATTGGTTTTCTGTAAAACAAACAGCTGATAAAACAAAGAAAAACGTTGGTGGGAAACATGAGGAAGAGCTGAACAATAAATACAGGATGGTTCTGATCCAAACACAACCAGGACACCAGGTGGGAATGTTTCAAACTAAAGTCCAGCAACACGCTGGTCTGCAGAGGTTCTGAAGCGACCCGGTCCATCAGGTGGAGTAATCCTGCAGAACAGAACAGAACCTGGTCAACGGATCCAGAACCCAACAGCAACCCACTGACCCGTACAACTGGTTCTGCTCTACTCACAGCTCTGGGTTTCTTGTTGACTTTCATGTCGAACCTGAAAACAACACAGAGTGACCCGGTTAGTTCTGGACGGGAGGTTCTGATTCTTAATGGGAACACTGGGGGCGGAACTACTACAGAACCACGAAGAAGTTTGGAACCCAAACAGGTCAAACAGAACCTTCAGAGTAAAACAAGCAATGAGTTGGTTCTGGAGTCAAACAAGAGATGCAGAGAAAGTTCTGATAGAACACAGGCATGCGTCAGAACCGGGCCACACATCAGAACCGGGTCATGCAGTTAGAATCTCACAAAACAGCAAAAAAAAGAAAAAAAAAAGAAAAAGAAAAACAGCAGAGCAGGAAGTGGAAACAGCAGAGCAGGAAGTGGAAACAGCAGAGCAGGAAGTGGAAACAGCAGAGCAGGAAATAAAAACAGCAGAGCAGGAAGTGGAAACAGCAGAGCAGGAAGTGGAAACAGCAGAGCAGGAAGTTGAAACAGCAGAGCAGGAAATGAAAACAGCAGAGCAGGAAATAGAAACAGCAGAGCAGGAAGTGGAAACAGCAGAGCAGGAAATAGAAACAGCAGAGCAGGAAGTGGAAACAGCAGAGCAGGAAGTGGAAACAGCAGAGCAGGAAGTGGAAACAGCAGAGCAGGAAATAAAAACAGCAGAGCAGGAAGTGGAACAGAGCAGGAAAAGGAAACAGCAGAGCAGGAAATGGAAACAGCAGAGAGGAAGTGGAAACAGCAGAGCAGGAAATGGAAACAGCAGAGCAGGAAGTGGAAACAGCAGAGCAGGAAGTGGAAACAGCAGAGCAGGAAGTGGAAACAGCAGAGCAGGAAGTGGAAACAGCAGAGCAGGAAATGGAAACAGCAGAGCAGGAAGTGGAAACAGCAGAGCAGGAAATTGAAACTGCAGAGCAGGAAATGGAAACAGCACAGCAGGAAGTGGAAACAGCAGAGCAGAAAGTGAAAACAGAGCAGGAAATAAAACAGCAGACCAGGAAATGGAAACAGCAGAGCAGGAAATGGAAACAGCAGAGCAGGAAATGGAAACAGCAGAGCAGGAAGTGGAAACAGCAGAGCAGGAAATGAAAACAACAGAGCAGGAAATGGAAACAGCAGAGCAGGAAGTGGAAACAGCAGAGCAGGAAATGGAACAGCAGAGCAGGAAAAGGAAACAGCAGAGCAGGAAATGGAAACAGCAGAGCAGGAAGTGGAAACAGCAGAGCAGGAAATGGAAACAGCAGAGCAGGAAAAGGAAACAGCAGAGCAGGAAGTGGAAACAGCAGAGCAGGAAGTGGAAACAGCAGAGCAGGAAGTGGAAACAGCAGAGCAGGAAATGGAAACAGCAGAGCAGGAAGTGGAAACAGCAGAGCAGGAAATGGAAACAGCAGAGCAGGAAATTGAAACAGCAGAGCAGGAAATGGAAACAGCAGAGCAGGAAATGGAAACAGCAGAGCAGGAAGTGGAAACAGCAGAGCAGGAAAAGGAAACAGCAGAGCAGGAAATTGAAACTGCAGAGCAGGAAATGGAAACAGCAGAGCAGGAAGTGGAAACAGCAGAGCAGGAAATGGAAACAGCAGAGCAGGAAATGGAAACAGCAGAGCAGGAAATTGAAACAGCAGAGCAGGAAATGGAACACAGAGCAGGAAATGGAAACAGCAGAGCAGGAAGTGGAAACAGCAGAGCAGGAAAAGGAAACAGCAGAGCAGGAAATTGAAACTGCAGAGCAGGAAATGGAAACAGCAGAGCAGGAAGTGGAAACAGCAGAGCAGGAAATGGAAACAGCAGAGCAGGAAATGGAAACAGCAGAGCAGGAAATTGAAACAGCAGAGCAGGAAATTGAAACTGCAGAGCAGGAAATGGAAACAGCAGAGCAGGAAGTGGAAACAGCAGAGCAGGAAATAAAAACAGCAGAGCAGGAAATGGAAACAGCAGAGCAGGAAGTGGAAACAGCAGAGCAGGAAATGGAAACAGCAGAGCAGGAAATGGAAACAGCAGAGCAGGCAGCAGGCAGAATGTAAATTTCAGACTTACTCAAAGTCATAATCAAACATGGCGGAGGGGCTGAGGGAGCGTTACGGAGGAAGAGAGCAGCAGCTGTTAGTTCATCAGACGGTCTGGACCAGCAGACCGCCAACCTGCCGCAGCTGCAGCCCGTTGACAATCATTCACATGGTTCTGGAACTAATCAGGTCTGAACCAATAGTCAGGTCCAGGTTCTACAGGTTCAGACCTTCTAACTAGATGAGCCTCAGCAGGTTCTGAGCTGCTGCAGGATCCAGCATTATTGAGCCCGTCAGAACCTGCTGTGGGTTCTGTACCTGTGTCTGTTCTTGTTCTTCCTCTTCTTGTGGTTCCCGTGGTGACTGCTGGACGAGGACGACGACGCGGCTTTCTGAGGCTTCAGGTCTTGCAGCGCCGAGTCCACGTCCTCCGTGTCGTCCTGGCTGGGCTCGTTCTCTTGGTTCTGAAGGTCCGGAGACGTGTCGCTTTCTGTGCCGCTGCCGGCTTCGCCTGCAGAGACCCGTCAGAACATCAGAACAAGCAGGGGGTGCTGCTGCGGCAGTCTGACGGTTTAACACCACTCACGCTTTTCATTCATGTGATCCGGGATCCCTCCGAGCGCGCACACCGCCTGCCAATCACAACCCAGACACCGGCATGAGCCTTCTATTCAACACAGAACCAGGACCAGAACCTGACACAACAACAGAACTCACAGCGACAGACGTCACAGACGACTTGCTGAACAGACGCTCCGCCTCCTTAAACTTCCGGTTCCTTCTGTCAGTTTTACTGTTGGAGTTCCTGTGTAAAAAAAAATGGAGGATCTGGTCATCAGAGCCAAACATCAGAAGGTAAAACCAGTCAGACCTTCATCCTCCTCCTACTTCTGGTTGGTGAGGTAGCGATCCCATCCACGGATGATGTTTCCATACATCTGGGTGTCCTCCAGGTAGCTGCCTTCAAAGGCGTAGATTTGTCTCTCCAGGTTCACCAGCGTCTCCTGTTAGGTTACAACATCCAGCTGTTCAGATGAGGGGCATGTTTGGACAAAATCAATATTATTGGATAAAATAATAAATAATTATTGGATGAATCAATTTTTACCCCAATTTGTTTTTCTAATTTCTAGTGTTCATCTGAAACATTCTCCTCTTTAGTGTTGTAAAATGCAAATTAGTTTGAAATGGAATACTGTTGTATTTTCTTATGTCCTTACTTTCTATTATTGTAATTGTTCTATAAATACATTGTTTTACCGTTGTGTGTCTGTACGTTTGAATTGCAATTATTATATTCTGTTTAAATTTCGAAACTACTCAGACATAAGCTTATGTTTGTTCGTCTGAAAGTCATTAAATAATATTAATTTCATCAGTTTATGTCCTCCAACAAACTGGATGTTTTATTGATATCGCGAGATTTCAGTCAAGCCGTTAGCTGCTCCACGTTTCAATGCTAACTCCGGAGCGTTATAAACACATATATTCTGAATGTTTCAACGACAATAAACATCTGTAAACCTTTAGGAAACACTACCTGGGCTTTTTATCCATTCAATATTTTTCTAATATAGTTTTAGATGCGTTTTAAAAGGAAAGTTACAGTTGAGTTATCAAGAGCTAAACGCTAGTTAGCCTTAATTAGATTAGCATGCAGGCCTCATTTAATGGCGGAGCAACTAATTCCGCGGATAAAAACTCCCATATCCACATCTACTCACAGCCAACTCCTGTTTCCTCTTCACCAGCTCCGCCAGTTCCCTCCTGGTGTCCGGGATCTGAGGTGGGGTGGCCTTAGCATGCATTGCCATGACGGGAGGAGGCTTTCTGGGAAACGGCAGCGGAGGAAAAGGTAGAAGCAGCGGGCTGCAGTGTCGCAGGGTCCCTATACATCCGGCAGGGGGCGCTCCAGACTACGGCAGGGCTCCAGTAGAATTCAAACAGTTACTATGACAACAACTCCGTCTTATCTGCAGCTTTCATTTTTGATCAGCGATGATACCGATTTAACAACTGAGAACATAAAGTTGATTCGTTTTAACTGTTATTTCACTGGGTTCAAAGTTTTATCACCAGCATTTATCCATCGAAGTTTTCCAAACATTTCTGGTTTCCTTAAACCAGAAATGGTTGAATGACTCGTGGAGCTGGAAAACAACCAGGAAATGCTTTCTTCTGCTTTCAGGAATATTCTCAATGTCCAAGCAGATGTCTTTTGTTTTAAATAAAATGTATGTTTCAGTTTACTGCAATCCTCATGGTGGGGCAAAAGACTGAAACATTCCAACAGCTCCCTCCTGCTTGACATGAGTTATAAATTACATTTTCCATCCCTTTATTATCTATTAGTGTGAGAATGAATCAGCTGCTGTGGAAGGTCAGCTGTTTTCTGACTGGTGGTCATGTTGTAGCAGCTGCTGGTCCAGGAACAGCTGTGTGTGTCATGTGACTAAGTGGTGCACAACGAGGCCAGGCAGAGCTGCTTCAGATTTAAAGGGTCGCTGTCTAAGAGATGGTGACATCTAGTGGTCACAATGAAACATAGCAGCTCCGTTTATCGTTGCTAACCTGAGCTCATCCTGCCTTCATTAGCAACCAACAGCCTGAAAATGTTCAGGTACAAGTTTGTCTAGAAAACCCTAGACAAACCCTAGACAAACGGTACACGAGTTCGGCTCGTGTACCGCGCTGGTTCTGAGGAATGAACCCGTCTGCACCCTTTCTGGACCGACACCATGGATTTTAAAGAGCTGGGGGTTCGCCTGGAGGAGAAGCTGACCCTGACAGACAAATGACAACGGAAGAAGGAGATTTTAGCTGAAAACTAGTTTATAGGCGATAAATAAATCTTTCGCTTGCTAGCTAGCTATTTATGATTATTTATGATGAGCTAAATATTTAGACTTAGACTTGTACTTTATTGATCCCTTGGGAAGACTCCCTCATGAAATTGAAGTATACTTGTGGCACATGTGGTTAGTTGGTATACTTGATATTTAGCTTGATATTGTAATATCTATAAATAATTAATACAGTGAAAATATAATTTGGAATATTTTTCTCTTCTAACAGACCAAATAACCCAAATTATTGTTACATTTTTTTGTAAATGATGCTGCATGATATGTGAATCTTCATCCATCTCACTCACATCCAGTTTTTCCTTTTGGTCATTCCCCGCATGGTGCCTGCATGATTCATTTCGTCCACATTTTTTCCAGTCTTTCCTCCTCTGACGTGGCGCTTTCTCTCCAGCAGCTGCTGAAGCACAAAATAGACGCAAGGACAGAAAACTTTCCTCAGAAAGCAGCAGCAGCAGCAGCATGTCCTCCCCAGCAGCTCGCAGGCTGCGGGGGTTTTCCTGCTTCTTCGTCTGGCTGCTGCAGCAGCTGCTGCAGCTGGTCTCCTGCTGCAGGCCGTAGACCCGCCCCACGCAGAGAGAGAGCCGCTCCAAGGCAGGAGAAGAGATGCTTCCTGCTGGAGGGGCGAATCTCAACATGCATCACCGCTGCTGCAGCGCAACCAGCAATCTGCATCACTCACTGAAACCAGCAGCATCATAAACAGAACCATGTCTGTCCTCTGCAGCAACAAGGCCAGCAGCACAGAGTTTGTTCATTTCGATGAAAACAAATAAATATGACAAATGAAACTGACATCTTGTTGGAAAAGCTGCAGCGGTTTGAGGTCAGATGATGAAACCAGCACTGAAATCTGGTTAGCCAGAAATATTGAATCGATGATGAAACTTGATATTAAAATGATGCACCAATGCTACATTTTCAGCCATGACTGGAATCAAAACTGATTCAGCCATATTTGCATGATTTTATATTGAGTCACAGTTAAGGGATCAATATTGATTCATGTACATTTGATAATATTAATATTAAAAAATGCATCAAACATGCAAATAAATAATTGCATTCATTTTAAGTAAGAAAACCAAAGTTTTATTGGCTAAAAGCCAGTAACTTCATTCCTTACAGAAAGTTTGAATATTTGATCTGCAAAATTCTTCTGACATCAACAGAGAGTAAATGATCTGGTGATGATTTATAGATGAACTGATTCATAACCAGATGCAAAAGTCAAGCTAAGTTTATTTTTATAGAACAGCAGCACACAGTTCAAAATGCTTTAAACATTTTGTCATCAGAATCAAGCAAACACATCAAATATGTGCGCAACGTTCATAGTAAATTATGATATGTTATTTTATTACGTTGTTTCATTTTAGACTCTTTTTGTGAATGTTATAATTATCATCTCCCCTCGCCGCTTTCAGCTGCTCTGAATCATCTGGCGGACCGAACCATTCAGGGTCCGAACCGCAGCAGAACCTCCCGGCTCTGGGTTCGCTCCGAGGAGAACCACCGTGAGGAGAACCGGATCGGTTCGTCAGAGTTCCCCAGAAATGACCCGAGGTCCGCTTCGGCCAGAAAACCCGATTCTGCTCTTGCTCCAGTTGGTTCCGTCCATTTGTCCGGCATGAAGGTTTTGAATGTGATAAGAAAAAAGTCAAGGCAGCGTCAGAGAGCGGAAATTAGATGCTCCAGCCTTCAAAATAAAATGAATTGACCAAGTGAAAATTAAAGTCAATCATTAGAATAATCCATAGTTTTGTCTAAACTTCAAAAACAGAATCAAATTTTAATTTAATTTATAAAGTACACTGTAGAGGTCTGGAGGAAATTCCTCAGCTTTAACAGAAGATTTTTCTGAGCTGGTTATTTATTAAATAATTAACAGAGGTATGTTGTTGTTTGAGGTTTGGATTGGCCTCTTTTTAAAGTTTTATTAGCACTACATTATTACATTCATTCATCAAGAGCCATTCTGTTTCACATCATTTTAAAACATTATGTCAAATGTTTAAAAAGTATTGCAATTATTGACTATTCTACTTTTATTTAGTTTGTTTTTTCAATTTTACTTAATCATTAATTAAAATTTTCTTTTTAAATGTGTTCATATTTTAAAAATTTCTATATTAAATCTTTTTTCAGTGGAAATTAAACAGACAAAATTACATTGTAGGTCATTTATTGACATGGATTTAATTTAGTTTTATGCTTTTTATTTTTTTTCTACTTTATTATCTACTTTCTTTTACTATTTAATTTAGTTTTATTTTACTTTGATTTGCTTGCTTTAATTAATTATTATTAATAATAGTAATAATAATAACAGCATGTTTTATTTTGAAGTGTGTGACCGGAAGTGTGACCTTCCTCTTAAGAACTTGACCTCCTCGGTTTTCAGTCTCTCCCTGTAGATTCCTCAGTGAAGACCCTCACACCGCAGAACCGAACCGAACCTCTGAGTTTCAGAACTCACCTCACGGTTCCGGTTCGGAAACCAGATTTGAACACTTTTTAGATTCCCGGCGTTTGTTCTATTCGGATCCCGTTCTTTCCCCCGCACTGTCCGCGGTTCCGTTCCTTCCTCTGCAGCTGGGTGTGTTCGGCAGAACTGGACCGGAGTTCGGCTCGTGTACCGCGCTGGTTCTGAGGAATGAACCCGTCTGCACCCTTTCTGGACCGACACCATGGATTTTAAAGAGCTGGGGGTTCGCCTGGAGGAGAAGCTGACCCTGACAGAGAAGAGTGAGTAACCAGAACCCGTCCTGACCCGGTCCGGTGCGTGGCACCGGTCCGGTTATCACGTCCATCACCAGCAGAGAGTCAGCCAATCAGATCAGTCGCTCAGAGGCTCTCTCTGCTGGTTCTGCCCAGGTCGGTTCGGCTGGTCCAGAAGGGAGGTTCTGGACCAGAACTTTCCTTGTCCAGAAAAGTCCCGGATCATTAGTTGATGCCTCAACAGTTGATGGTTGCAGGTTTGAATCTCCAGATGTTTCTGCTGGGTTCTGGTGGAACCGTCTCTGTGTGGGTCAGAACCTCCTGCAGGTTCTCCAGAACCTCCTGCTGGTTCTCCAGAACCTCCTGCTGGTTCTCCAGAACCTCCTGCAGGTTCTTCTGGATGTGTGACGGGGCAGCGGACTGAACCAGCGGCAGGGGAAGGTTCTGTTCACTGCAGAGGTTGGTACCGACGGTACTGCTATGATCCGGGTCAGAAGCCCGGTCTGAATGGTTCTGCTGCAGAGGTGGTCCAATGTTCATCTTCTGGGTCTGGTTGGTTCTGGTTCTGGTTCAGCGGTCTCCAACCTGGGGCTCTTTGATAATTATTTATAATAATAATAAAAAAGTTATTTTATGATTAATTCTGTTTTATTTCTTTCTAAAATAATTTTTCCATCTACATTGTAGAAGAAAATGTTTCCATCATCAATCTTTGAAACTCTGGACCTGACTCCGGTTCTGTTGGTCCAGTTGACCAGTGGAACCGGCAGTCCTCTGGGATGAGCACTTGGACTAGGACGTTCTCTTCCAGATGTTCTCCTGGTTCTGCTTGGCTTAAACTGGGTCCAGAAACCTCATTCTGGTTCTGTGCAGCGAAACTTGATGGGTTTATTCTAGAGCTCAATCGATTAATTGTGATTAATTGATTATAATTGTCAACTAATTTTGTTTAATCGATTAGCGATTAATCGCTAACAGACTCTAAAAGAGAGAACAGAAAAATAAATATAAACATTTTGCATCTGAGATGAAAAAACTTTCTTGGTTTGTCGTCCTCTTCCACCAGAGCTCCTTTAGCAGCAGGTTCAGCTTCACCTGGTTCACTTTCTATAAAAATATCATATTAATCACCTTTCATGACCCGTTATTAATCAGTTAATAATCAATAGAGCGGCTCAGTCTGCAGATGAATTATTTGCCTCAAATGTTCACTAAATCAAAGCTGTTATTGATTTTCATTTTTATATTTAAAAAGAAATTCATTTGTTTATGTTTTCACATAGTAAAAAATACATTTAAGAAAAATCTGCAGAATGTAAACTTA